GGTAGATTGTTATTCTAGAGCCTTGTACAGTCTGGTGGCAATGTATCCGTATTTTTATTCAGCTCATCCCCTCGGACATAAGCGCAGTCTCTTTGGACAGATGGAACAATTAAATCATGTCGGAATAACGAGGTTTTTTTATATTTTATCTTAGCACCTTTATTACTTTAATTCCTTTACCATATTAGTTAACCCTCACTCTTTAGCATATCTAACTAATAGTTTAACCAAAAAATTATGCTGTTATTAAGTGACAAAAATTATGATCTTTTTGCGCATACATTTAATCTTATTATTGTTCCTCTCAAAACTCAATTATTATATTACTTTAGTAAAATAGACGATTTTCGGCACTTTTCCTGTAGGATGAAGCACTTCTCTACTATGAACCCGAGAGGGAGGTTATTTCGCGTAGTGGAGACGAGGCTGTTGTCGCTCTCTGTGATCAGTGGTATTTGGACTATGGGAATCATGAATGGAAAGAGCAGGCTAAAGATGCTCTCAGTCGAATGCATCTTGTTGATGAGGTATAATTTATGTCTGCACTCCTGTTTTTCACTTCCCAATATAATATGTTTTTACTCAACAATTTTTTGTAGAAAACCTGTCAAAAAAGTTTACATATTTTTCAACAGATAGAATTAATTGCTTTCTATTCTATTTTTGGTACGCTCATCGCTTATTAGCTTTTATTGAAATTCGATCAATTATATATTCCACGATTTATTAATATTGACAAAAATTAAGTGAGAGGAATATATTTGACGTTTGGGAGGGATTGTCACCTTAAATCAATATTCATCAAATAGGATAAGACAAAGGGACTGCTTTGCTTGGCTTTTACTTGTAAATTCTAGCGCTTTTAAGATTTGTTTTGCATATAACTAGACAAATATCATTACTCGGTATACGCAAAAACCAGCCTCTGCAATCTTAAAGTCATTAGGTGAGGTAGCATTTAAATCCAAATTTTCACGAGGTTTCTTAGTCTAGCTTTGATGCTAATTACATGACCTGATAGAATATGAAATATGAGATGTATTCACCCTATTTCACCCTATTGTGGAAAAATTCTACTACCAGTCCTTCATCACCTTAAACGAAATAGGGTGAAAACAACTCATATTGCTGATTTACTGGTAGTCTCGACATTACTCAAATACGAAGAATATGGAATTACTGAGGGTAGTTTCATCAATACATCTAGATGTACCTTATCCATGCAATTTGATCGATTCTTTCTAATTTCTAATTGGAGTAATGATCTTGTTATTTGTTTATTTAACTATACCTTATAGGTTTCGAAAACTTCTTACGAAGATGACTCCAAACTCTAAACCTATTTTTCACTTCACAAATTTAAATTTCATTTCTTTATTTTACGTTCGCCTCACTTATATTAGATAGCTTTTTTCCTATTCCGATGTTCGTTTTCAGAACATATCAGAATCTGGTGGCCTCCATTTTGCTCATAGTCTCCTTTCGATGTATAGAAGTGGCCTGGCCTCTTTTTCGCAACTGGATCGTATTGTCATGACCACTTAGCAGGGGATATGCGAAAAGGTGGAATTAACTATCTCGCCTTGACAACACAATCAAGTTGTGAGAACTAAGTCAGACCAATTATGCATCCAGCTGCTTTTCCTGTTTTTGGACAAATGAAATTTCATCTAAATCTAGAAGCTACTTGAATATAATCAACTTTAATCATGTCACATATTTTAATTACCTATATGCATAGCTTTTCTAATAATGCATCTTACATTATTTCGTATCAATACACTGCGAGAATTGGAAATAAATAAACCGTTCTATCCCCATTGCCGTTTTAATGAAATTTGGTTGATTAGCTTAAAAATGTCTACT